CTCTTTCTCCTGCTAGAGCTTGGGGGATTTTGCTCTAAATGAATTTTTGGTGAAAGCAAGATCTGTTCTAATTATTTGTAAGTAATGAGGATCAGGCCTAGCAGTGTTCAAAATGCAGGTGGCTACAGGCACCAGTCCTGGTTATTCTCCTTACCATGGACCTTGTGGATGGGTAGAAGAGAAACTGGGATATTTCCTCTGTATTTGAGCTTGAAAATGGGCATGAATTACACTTGTTCTGCTGCCCTGCTGTTTTAGAAAGAGGAATCCATGGACTCCAGCTTTGCTAGCCTGGTAGCCCTGGCAATCAGCTGGCTCTTCAGGAAATTGTTTTATTGTATAATAGGACTGTTCCTATGAACCAGCTCCTTGCAGCCTCAGGAATTGGCAGGGAGGTTCCCAGTCAGCATCAAGGTGGATTATCAGGGTACAGAAGTGTCAAGATTGGGCATTTGGAGCTGCCCTTCAGGCATGGGTGGATGGAGGAGCTCAGCTGCCTTTCTCTGCTGGGCTGGAGCTAAAATCTGTGTGCAAATATCCGAGCTTGTGTTTGTGGCTGGGTCTGGGAGTGTCTGGGATGTTCTGGGACCAGGCACTGCTAATATGGGCTGCACCATCTACATCTTGAGATCTTGTCCCAGATCTGCTCTTCCTGGGAAGTTCAATGACCATGGAAAGGAAATGGGGACTTTGAACGAGGCAGGACATGGCCTGTGACATCCTGCTGATTCCATTCCTCTCGCTGGGTCTGGGATTTAGGTAATATCCCAACACAAGCTGCAGTCAGCAGGATCCCTTTTCCCACACTGTGTTTGTTCCCAGGCCTCTCTTCACTCCTTGGGAACAGTTTTTCTGTTTTTCTTTTTATTCTGTTGCTCAGCAGGGCAGAAAAGAGTCTGCAGAGGTTTCTGCCATCTCTGAAATGAGTCTGACTGGGGAAGTACAAAAGCTACAATGAATATGTATTACTGCAAATATTGGAGAAGCCAATGTCCCCTTCTTAATAGATGTTATTTCTCATTCTTTGAATGAGTCTGCTGGCCATGGAGGGCAGATAATCCACTTGTGGAATCTCTCTTGTCTTGTGTTGTTATGTGATTTATGGCATCATACAAGGAACAGAATTTGTCACCACCGTCTCCATGAAGTACTGTTGAATCTCCTTGTAGAAGTGGCTCTGAGAAAGTGAGTTTTGGAGCTCAAGAAAAAATGTTTTCATATTTTTATGTCTTTTTGTTTCTTTTTTTTTCTTTTTTCCTGCTTCTCTGATGCTCTCACTGTTCACCATAGATCTGTAAAAATCATCTAGTTCTAGCTCCCCTGCCTTAGGAAGGGATATATCATTGCTAAATTTTTGTCATCATTAATGCCCTAAAAGCAAATTTCACCCATTACCAGTGGTTGTGGAACAAATTTAGCTAATTAGCCTTTGGCAAGTCATTAATCAGGTGCCCATCATCCCAGGAGTGACAGCTGCATTTTTGAATCTTTGCTTTCCAGCACACTCCACAGCCCCCAGCTTTTCTCCTGCTCCTCTCCAGCCCAGGTGCTTGTTCCCTGCATGAAAAAAATGATTTCACATCTTGCAAAATTAATTCTCTGCTCATGATGACCTTGATTAAGCAGATTGACAAACAGTGCTAGAGGTGGCAAAACARCTCTGACATGCAGACGTCTTCACCTCCTGAAAGAAAAGACAAAAAAAAATCCCCGTGGGCTGTTGCTATTATGAGATGCAGGTGGCTTAGGGCTGTTTTCTGCACAATCAGCAGAAATTCTCCACATTYAGGAACAAGGTCTGTAAAGTTAAACTTGGTGAAACAGCAGAAGATGCAATTATTGGCACTTGAACTGGATTATCTTGAAATAATCAAGGATTTTTCATCCACACCTGGTGGACACTGTACTGATGCTGCAGGAGTTTGGAGGCAGAAATTGTAAAGGTGTGTGTGGCTGCCCCATCCCTCAAAGTTTTCAAGGCCAGGTTGGATGKGGCTTGGAAAAATCAGGTCTAGTAAAAGGTGTTTTCATTCTCATGTTGATKCTCTGTAGTTTCGTAAATTCATCACCTCCCAATGGTGTGTGATCCTCCAGCTCCATAAAGGCTCTCTGGGCATCACCTGGAAAAAGAATGGCATTTTTGTCTCGTTCCTTTATTGGGTTTGTTACCTTGCTGTCTGCAGAGCAATCTTCAAGATGAAGAGTTGACCAGTGTTTTGAAGAAATAAGATCRGAGAAGTCCTTTTAGGGTAATGCAGGTAAAATTCAGGTGGCTTTCCTTCCCAGCCTTGATCCCAGTGGCCAGGGGACTTCTGATGAGGAAGAAATCTGGCAATCCTGGTCTTGAGATGATTGTCCTCTCATCCCAGGCATCCTGAAAGGAGCAGGTGTTAAGATACCACGAGATGTTCTGGAAGGACAGATGTCACCATTATTGAATTATAATTGGGGTTAAATCATGTGAAGCAGCAGGAYTGGGACTGAAGGGGCAGCATGAACATTCGGGGTATTTTTTTACCCCATGCAAAGAGGGCAGGGATGAACACTGAGGGAAAACCAAAGGGATGGATGAGGGGAATTTTTGGAAGCCTATTTGTCCTAGACACATATCTTGGTTGTGAGTGCAATCCTGATCCCTCTTTCAGCAGCCTTTCTGAAACAGGACAGGCCAAAAAGCTCTCAGGCCAAAAAGAAAACCACAACAAGATAAATAGGTGAACCTGCTGTATTTGCTGCGATGCATTAACAGAAAGGGAGTGTGGGAAGGGCTGAGAGCATTTGTTGGGGTGGCAGCCAGCAGAGAGRAGCAGAGCTGAATTTGCAAACACTCTTCCCGTCAGCTCCTGAGCTGTCCAGCTGGGAGCTCTTGCACTGATTTACTGCTGTCCTTCCTTCAGCCTCTGGAAATCAATCCACTAACAATTAAGGTAATATCTGGTCTAATATTTATTTCACACTCGCATTAATGGACTGACAAAACCCCACTTTTTGAAGCAGTGAGGCTGCTCTGTTCCACAGGAGGGCTGCATCTCTGGGTCATGCCTTTTTCCCTTGTCCCTGTTAAAGCTGAGATCTCCTGTGAAGCTTTCAGGAAAATTGCTGTGCAGCACCATACCTTAGCATTGTGTTCCTGGTGAAGAAGGTGCAGCCTTTGTGCTAAATATTCCCAAACATCCATTRAAGGAGAACTGGAGCACAAAGGGGTAGCCCTGGCTGCCTGCTGAGCCCCAGGAGCTTTGTGCTGGGCTGGCTTTGAGCTTGGGAAGACAAAAGACATTCGCTGCCCAAGGGCTCGTGTTCTTTTTCTCCATCTCCTGGGCAAGTGTGCCCTGCATTGGATYTGACCTGCTGTGTGTCTCTGTGTCCTCAACACTGAGAAATTTCCCCAAAATGCTGGGAAAAGGCTTATTTGGGGCAACACTGCAGATGGCCACAGCCTGGACAACAGTCCAGTGGGCTCTGGTTCTTAGCAGTCAATCCACCTGTGATCTGGGATCAAACTGGGGGTGAACCCCAAAGTCCTCAGTGCACCCTGCTTAGGGGGTGGCCTATCTGGGGGGCTCTGCAGCTCCTGGGCACTGAGTTTATGAGGGTCAATGTCCCACAGGCAGACTGGGAACTGCAGGTACCTGTGGGTCTGTGCACATCACCCCACCTTGAGGTGAGGAATTTACCACTGCAGCTTCTGAAATACCGGTTTCTCTAACTGAGATGTGAAGTGCAGGATGGTYTGGGTTACCAAAATGACCTTTAATTAACGCTGCTAGAAGAGTACTAAATAATAACAAAATTCTCCCCGTAGTTCTCATTCCCCCTTGTATATTTTTTTTCCAGTTTCTAGGTCAGATTCCCCATTCCGCTGCTCCTGCGCTAGAGCAACGCTCAGGTTGAGGTTGCACAATTGCAGAGGAAGGAGGAATCCGCTTCCCGAATCCCGATCTCCCCGGCAGCCTTTCCCGATTCTTCCCTTCGTCCCAGCATCTCCTGCAGGGAGCCCACCCCAGGTAGGCTGCGGGTCGGGGGTGCGGCAGGGTGGGCTTGGGGAGGTTGTGGGGTGCTGGTCCCCCCCGGGGGTGGGATGGGGAGGCCACCGCAGBTCCCCCGGGGCGTGGGGAGGACGCTGCCCGTGTCTCGCAGGTGCGGGCTCGCCTTCCCTTTGCTGCGTTTGGTTATTTATCATTTCACCCCCCCTCCCCTTTTCCTCCTTCKCCCTCCCGCTTTTCTCTTACGCAGTGGGAGCAGCCCGGCAGCTTGGCTCTGCCCAGCCGCCCTCCGTCCTCCCTCCCTCCCTCCCTCTCCCTCATCCCTCCCTTTTCCTTAAAAACGTGGGCTCCGGGGTGCAGCCCCCTGCGCTGGCAGCATCCCTCCCTGCCAGAGCAGCCCTTTCCCCTCCTCCACCTGCGGAGCTCGGGCTTTGTCCCGTGTTTTCCCCCCCATCCCCCGGCCCGGGGGTGCTGGATGTGGCCGCGGGGAGCGGAGTCTGCTTGCGAGCTGCGCTAGAAGGGACCTGCCGCAGGTAAGCAGCCGGCCGGGGTTTTATTGCCAACTTGGGGGCTTTTCCTGCTGTTTTATCGCGATACGGAGAGCGGGGATCGTTCCGGAGGCGCGGCGGCTCTCGGGGTGCGCGGGTGGCAGTGGAAGGGACGCAGAACCGCGAGTGGGGACTCACCGGCCCGCAGCGATGGGAGAGGCAGGTGGGAACACCRACACCCAGCCCCTGGACAGGGATGGCGTGTGCCGCCCGCACGGCCCCGCACCGCCCTGTGCGGATGTGCGCGATCCCTGCGCGCTCGGGATGCGCCAGGCTCCCGGGCTTGCATCCCATCAGAGCGCCCCAGGGGAGGGGGGCTGTGTTCTTGGCGGTAAATCATCCTTCTCGCCGGTAATAAATCACCCTTGCCCAGCCTTTCTCACGCACTTCCCTTGCCCCAGTCCCCTGGCACCCGTTTGATCGGCAGATTTTAGAGCTGTCTCTCGCCGCCCCAGCTCGCCGGCGCAGGCTGCAGCTTCAGGATGGACCCGCTCTTCCCTGCCCATATTTTTGAAGACCCCGACCTGAGGAAGCTGCTGAACGACTCCTCCATGCTCAACCTGAGCTTTCTGCCCAGCAACTGGTTCAACAACAGCACAGGGGACGGTTTCCTGCCGCTCAGCATCAAGATCACCATCGTGGTCGTCTACTCCATCGTGTGCATCGTGGGGCTGGTGGGCAACTGCTCCGTCATGTATGTGATCGTCAGGTAGGACACGCAGGGAGGCTCCAGGGAAAGCTGGGAACGGGGTAAACCCTCCCTCCCTCAATCCCTGCTGCGGGTAAAGCAGGCAGGCGCTTCCCGGGGGTTGAGAGGTGCTTTAGAGGTAACAAGGTGGCATTTGTTTTATTGTTTTGTTTTTATTTGAGGGTTTTTTTTACCCCCCTTCCTAGGCTGTGATGAAGGTTTCTGCCAGTTTTCAGCTGCCCTCTGGTGCCTCCTAAAGTTTAACCCAGAGAATGGAATGGAGCGAGCAGATCTGCTAAAAAAAAAAAGGGGTGGGTTTTTTTTTTTTTTTTTTTTTTTTTTTTTTTTTTTTTTTTTTTTTTAAGGAGCTGGATGTCCCTGGGGAGGGCAATGTTCTGAGAGCATTCCACTGCTGGGGTGTGCTGGCTCCTTCATGGGACTTCTCCTTCCTGTGCTTGTCCGGCACCCCAGCTGTGTTTGCAGGTGCTGCTCCATCTGGGAGCTGGCTCTTTCCAAAGCTGAACCCTGTTGCAAAGGAAAGAGCCTGCTGGGAAGCTTCCTTTTTACTTTTACAGTGGAAAAAAAAATCACGAATGTGAGTCTTCCAGCCCTTTGGAGCCTGCAGACTTTGATACTTTGCAGAGTTGAGGGAACTTCTCTGTCTTGTGCTGAAGTCAGGAGAGCAGAGGAGACTTTTGCAGAGGGACAGAGCACAGAGAATGCACCACTCCTTCCTCCCTGCACACTTGTTGGCATTTTGAGTGTCCCTGTCCGCTTCTGCTGTGCTTCAAACCCTTCTATTGCTGGGAATCAGAAACCTTGTTTGCCCTGTAAATACAGAATTAGTTTGTGCAGCTCTTGGGGCTGTGGTTATACCAAACTCCAGCATCCCCCTTCTGATCCCTGCACCCTGCATGTTAAAGAGGGAGCTYCCATTTTATCCACATCTTGGAGCAGATTCCTGGTGCAGGTGGAYGCTGCCAGCACAGAAAAGACAGGCTGAATCCTCCAACAGAAGATGMAAGTGTTTAGCAGGTATTTAGACACAGATGAGATTGTCWCGTTCCYGCCAGGAGCCCAACTGCTTCTAAAGCATCTTTCCCCTGAATAAATACAACTGGGCTGGGGGAGATGCTGCAAAATTAGGTCCTTGATATCAGAGCTCGATGAAGGGTGGTTCAATCTCTGCTCCAAGGGCAGAGTGACGTGACTGCTCATCARGCTGCCTGTCTRTGCTCTTTGAGCCGAGGAGTTCATGGCACAGAGAGGGGATCCCATTAGCCCCAGGGAGCCTGCAGATGCAGAGAGGTTTGYACTACACTGGTCCAATGTCTGGAGAGCTCATGCTCCTGCTCAGTGGAGTAGCAATCACTGGAGTAGTTTGTGGGTGTGTGTAAGTGTGTGAGTAGTGAGGCTCTGGGAGCAGGAAGAACTTTGATGATGATGATGATGATGATATGGCTGTATGGGGATTCCAGGCTGTGTGCAGGAGAGGAAGGGTGTCCTTACCCCGTGCATGATCCTCACTGTGTGTGAGGAGAAGTCTGGGCAGAAATCTTGCCCCTGTCTGCAAAGGCCTGGTGGGACGGGCACAGCAGGATCCTGCTGGGATCTGGGCATCACCAGTGACACAAACATCCCAAACTGGTGACCTGGGCACGGGGCACCTGTGCCATGGCTATGTATGAAAAATACTGGCTGCTTCTCCACACCTTTTTGACTTTGATGCCTTCCAGTTGGATAAATGGAACTCAGGAAAAGAAAGTGGGATTTAACACTGAAATTTCCCCTGGAGTTTAATTMTTTTTTGTGTTCCCTCTGGTTTTACAGTTTTTAAGCAATTGAAAACTGAAGACAGGTGTCACCCGCAATCTCCCTCAGGCTTTTCCATTTCTGTTTCCCTTTATTCAGAAACTCTGATACATATCCATTTATATAAAAAGCCAAYGATAGTTTTGGCTATTTGGGGACTCTTTTTTTAAGATTCACCTCTGATTTTTTAAAAAAAAACTTTGTGAGCCTGGAGAGTCCCCTTGAAAAGCATATGCTGGGGAGTTTATAACTGAGCTAGAGCATGTGTAGAAGCTGCTGGTCCCCATCTGTGTCCCCTGGGAGCTCAGGACTGAGTGGAGATCAACACTAGCCAAGGAAATGACCCTTCTTGARTCGATGATTTCTCGCCCAGGATTCTTCTCTCCTCGCCCTGTCTGTTGAGTTTAGGAGCAGGTACAAGGATGAATTGGACTCAGTATTAAACTCCTGACCCGGGCCACGCACAGATTGCACAAGGAGGATGCTGATGAATTTCTCAAACTCAGCTTTTTCTCCTCGGATTAGAGCTTTGCTGTTTCATGCCTTGAATAGCATCTGGTTTTCAGTAGGTTGGAAGTTGGTTGCTGGTAAGTCAACACAAGGGTTTGGGGCTCTTAGGGATAAATCTCTTCCATTAATGGGAAAAAATGATCAGCAAACCCTCTGTGCTGYCCCTATCACTCTACTCTGGTGCACCCTGAAATGGGATTTCTTCTCTCCATTCTTCAGCAAGGATAACCAAGTTTGACCATATTACACGGCCCACAGGAGAATGGTGTATTACCTTCCAGAAAAAGGCTGGTAGTGTTACAGGCAGTAATTGTTTCCTGTTTTTGAAGGAGTTAAGAAATAAAAAGTCCCTAATACCAGCACTCGAGGAAGTTGGAGGCATCAGGAAATCTCAGGKTTTTTTGTTCCTCTTGAATGAGATCTTTGCARCRCYGAGGGAAAAGTTTTAAAATCTCCCRGTATTTCACGCAAAWGTCCAAATTCAAAGCCTCCTCTAGGTTTTCCCCTGTGTTGTAGAACCCAGCCTACATCTCTATCATGTTTGGAGTGATTTAACATTTGGAATGATTAATTTATAGAGACAGCCATCATGTGACTGTCGATCCCTTCCAGGGCTGAGCAGCACAAATTGGGTGAGATGGAGAAGGGCTCTTGTCAGGAACACGATTTTCCTGGACAGTGAAGGGCCTATTGTGGGGACCTGCCTCGCCTGTGGCTTTGTTCTGCTGCCTCATCGTGGAGCTCCTTGCCAGCAGAGACGATGCCTCCCCTCCCTCCTCCTTCTGTTTGCTCTCTTCTGTGTGTATTCTCTGTTCTGCTTCTTAATGAATGTGAAACCAGGAGCTTGGCAGAGGCTTTGGGAGGAGAGTGGGGGAAAGCAGCCTGTGAGATCCCTCTCAGCTATGGACCAAGCAAGGCTGCTTGCCCAAGGTGTTTGTCTTCAGGAAGGAAAGCAAAGGGGAAGGAGGATGTTTTGTTGCCCAGGTTTTAGGGTGTGACAGAGGCCCCGAATCCCTGCCAGCCCAGGGAAGGGACAGGATGCAATTTCTGGTTCAGGGAGTCTGTGCCATCCCCAGCTCCATCAAGCTCATGTGGTGCTCAGAGTGGGGATCTGCAGGACTCCCTTGATGCCTAAAACAAGGCTCACCTGAAACAGAGGCCAGACAAAGTTAAGAGAATCAAAGCAGACAAATTTAATCCAGGCCTACAGGATTAAATTTGCCTACATTCAGGGCAGRCAAAGCTTCCTCCTGAGGCTACACCCAAAATGGGCCCCGAGCCATGAGATCTTCACCTTTTACAGGTTCTGTCCTATTAACACATGGGGCCTCAATTCCCCAGTGATACTTTCAGGTGATGATATCAGCCACCCCAAACTTGTTTCCCCCCAATTCTCTGCTGTTTCCATATTTTGGGGCTCTGAGGCAGCGAGGTGTCCTTGGATTCAGGCTCAGAGAGGAATTGTTTTGTCTAAAGATGAGAGAACGGTAGTTTTTAGTGCTGTACTAGAGAAGTACAAGAATACAGCCACAAGAAAATWTAGAAACTAATATTCCTAAGGCATCACCCTTCCTCCAGCTCAGACAAAATGCTGGGGATGCTCAGCTCTCTCTATGGAAGAGCAATTTTCAGAGCATTTTAAGCAATGTTTTAGGCAGATTAGGGCTGTCAGGCCCCTCCATTTTCATCTTCTGCCTCCAGGTGAAGCTTTAGGAAGGGGAGCTGCCTGCACTGGGGATGCTGTGCCAGCTGTTGTTCTGCTTGAAAACAGCCTCAGTCCATGAGAACAGGGGTGAGGGCTGCTGGCTGTGATGAGACTGGGAAAATGGAGTTGATTGTGACATTTCAGAGATGCTGATTTCTTAACAGAAAGCTTTCTAAGGGAAAAGCCTGGACCAGATGAGTCTCAGAGATGAAATGAATTGGGGACCCAGCGGACACGAGTGGGGCCATTTGAGACCTTTGCTGTCTCCAGATCTGCCTCTTCGTTTTTCCTTGAAAAACAAAATAAATACACACAAATTATTGCAGTTCATAGAGGAATGAAACCCACACCAAGGGCTCTTGGCCCTGGAGAGTGAGTGGAGCTRGGGTGAGGTGAGCAGGAGGGGATCCTGCTGTGATAGTGGCTGCAAAGGACAGCTCTGCAGCTYTCTGATTTCTGGGTCCCCCATGAGCCCAGATGAGCTGGGCTCAGCCACATGACTCATAGTAGCCATGCCTGGCCCTGCTAACACAGATTCTGCAGCTCCAGTGCATGCAGGAGGGCTCTTTGTTCTGCCTGGCTGTGGTGAGATGGGTGAAAGGGAGTTGCCCATGTGCAGCTGTAATTCTGTGATATTTAACATGGGACTTCCCAGTATTTTTCAGAGACTGGGYAATTCCCAGGTGCATTTTGGACATGAGCAACCCAGCAGAGGCAGATCTGGCCCATGAGCAGGGGTAAGAGCATCCTGCTGCAGGGTGGGTGCTGATGAATGCCCTCCTGAGAGCACGGCACCATTCCTGGTGGCCAAACATCTGCTCAGGGGTATGGGAACATCCCTGCGAGCCCCTGGGTGAGCCCCTGAAGCCTTTGCAGCAGCAGGCACGGAGTCTCCTCCTTTGGCATGGCAGCTCCATCCCCACCGGTCCCCAGGGAGCACCTGCAGGGCAGGGAGGGGCTGGTTCTGCACAGCTGCWCCCCAGACACAGAGGGGAGACTTCAAGGACAAGAAAATCATCTGTCCCAAGGTGTGTGCTCATCCTGGCTGGCTGCAGATTCCTAAACTCAGCCCTGCTAGTCAGTGCCTGTCTTGCTGGGTAATTTACAGGCTTTTAGGTGCTGTGCTGGTGGCTGCTTTTGCTGTAGTGTCTGGCCTCAGAGTCCAGACTAATTTAAATTTGTCCTTCTCAAATTCCACGGGTTTTTGTTTTTTTCCAGGGCTTGATGAACCACTAGGAATAAATCATTTTGAAGTTGTCAGAAGTTTCAGGCTGAGGGGGCTCTGGAATGGGGATCAGAGCAGCAGCGATGCAGAGAGCGCAGTGTGGGGACACAAATCATGACAGAACGTGCCAGATYAAAGATCAGCTTCACACCACCTGGGGGCTGGGAGCAGGCTGGTAGAAGAGCTGGGAGAGAACTGGGGCTGGTTTCCACCCTCACAGGGTGGGAGCAGCTCAGTAAAAATCCTCCCYGAGCCTTTTCTGCTCTGTTTTGCCTCCTGGTGCGTGTCCAGGGACCGGGGCAAAGGCTGTGACTGCTGCCGGGGTGTGAGGGGGGATGGAGAAGCTGCTCAAGGTGAGCAACACTGTCTGCATCCTAATTAGCTGGAGTTACACATGTCAAAGTCAAGAGGCTCCTGAGGCAGAGAGCTCCTGGAAATAAAGCCCATGGTTCTGCAGGGCTGCAGGCTTTGCTCTGGTCCCTCTGCCCCTGGTTCTGCAGCCAGCTGGTCCTTAGCTCCAGCCCCTGCCCTGCAGCCTTGCTGTGGCTGGGWGGAAAAAAAGGAAAAAATGCAAAAACAGCAGGTCTGAACAGGGGCAGAACCTGTTCTTGTGAGGAACAGGACCTCAAAGCCCAGTGGGTTTGTCTGCCTTCCTACCCTCAATCTCCTACTCTCAATCTCCTACCCTTGATGTCCAACCCTTAATTTCCTCTCCCAGACTGCGTGTTCCCCTTACCAGAGGGTCCCCTTGCCAAAAATGAGGGGGAAGGGAAGTGCTGAGCTGATATCCAGGTGTTTTTCTTCTCAGGCTTCAGCATCCGAGAGAACAGGAGAGCAGAGCAAAGCAATTACTGTTGTGACAAAGGGGGAGCAGGATGGAGAGCTGAGAACCACCCTGTGGGAGATGCTCCATTAGGAAATTACCTCCTAGGTGCAAGAAAGTGGCTCAGCAAGGAGCTAATGTCCTCTGTGGAATCCACAGGTTTATCCTCKGCAGAGCTGTGTCATGGGGGAGGAAACTGAGGTGTCTCCTAAAGCCTGAGAGTTTAATTTTTTGTGTAGATTAAAGAAAAGAACACTCTTGGTTCTGGAGGAAAAGAAACAGAGGTTAATCCACAGAGAAGTGATTGACTGATTGATTTTTGTGTGTGCTGAACATTCTGGAAATGTTTGGGAACATTGGTTGGTTGGGACARTGGCTGTTGGCTCTCAGCATGTAGAGAAAGTGGTTTAGAAGTAATTAATTGGGTGTAAATTAATTTATCTGCCTTTTAGGAGTGCAAAATCAGCTTTAAACTCTACTGGAAGATGGTTTGAAGGAAATTGTATGACAGTCCTGTGTTGGAATGAGGAAAGGTGGCTCTGCCATTGCCTCAAGGAGGCTTTTGCCAGCAGTCTTAGGTGACTGAATAATTTCCTAAAGCCTGAGCCGACAATGCTTATTTTTGTGAGAGCTAATAAAACAGGGATTTCACTTTTTCATTTTAATCCCYCTCTGCTGGCCCAGATCTGCTCCCAGACCCACCTCATTTCCTTGTACTTTGACACTTTTGTGCCAGATGTAAGTAAGAATTCAAACAAGAAAGGAAAACCTGCCCACCCTGAGATGCTCCTCAGCGTTCAGGGCAGTGGAGCCTGTTGTAATTCTCCTTAGGAAATCCCAAAGCTTAAAGCCCTGGCAGCTGCCTGGTTGTGTTGGATTTGCAAAGTGCTTTTGGTCATTTATCCCTTCACAACAGGAAAGGCACTGGTATTTTCCTTCTACTACTTTTGGTTATGTAGTTTATCTGGGCTGGCTTTCTAAGAACCTCTGATTGATTTTTGTGTTGGGAAAAGCCTCACTCAGGCTTGTGTAGGGATCTCAAAGCATTTCCGACACTGTTTCCATCTGTGCTCACCTCCAAAAGCTTTCCTTGGCTTTCAGGGTCAAATGTGGGATCATTTTGCCTTGCTTTCTGAAGCTGCTTTCAGACTTCTGACACAGGCCCAGCTTACAGCTCCAAGGCAAGTAAAAAAGTAGACTTTATAGTGTGGATTGTGGCTCTCCTATCTGCTTCTCTTGCAAACCTGGCCACGTCACCATGTGTCCCAGCAGGGATCAGAATGTGCCAGTGATAATGTTCTGCCAAGTATTCAAATCATTTATCAAGAGCTGAAGAAGCTCAGACCCTCAGGGGAGGGCACAGCACTGAGAAGGGCAGCTGTGGGTTTGCTGTTCTGAATAAAATTGGCAAAAAGAGCTTTTTAGGTCATATCAGACCCTGTAATATTCTAACACATATCTGAAAATAGGGCAGCAGTTTACGGGTAAAAGTGTTACCCTCAAATGAACTTTCACTCTGTTAATAACATCATTGTCTGCCATCTTTGGCCACGTCTCTGCTAAAGCCATTAGTAGAATAAATGATGGATGAGCTGTAGTTTTTAAAATTATACCTATTTAAGCTCTTATTCTGCCCATGAGAGGAATATCGTGGAGCTGAAATGTTAGAGTCAGTGACAGAGCCCCTGTCGAGCTTCCATTTCTGCAGACTCTGCACGTCCCCCTGGATAGGTGATCACAGCTGGCTCTGCATCATTTCCCAAGTGTGAAAAGAAGATGATTGCTGTTAGAGCAAGGTGACTCTTTGGGCAGTCAGTTCGTGTGGTAAAAGTGATATTGAAATGACAAAAAATCTTTGAAGTAGAGTTTGACTTGTAACTTCACCCCTTTCTTTAGAAAGATCCATTGTGKTATTTTGATTTCTACCTAATTCCTCAACAGATTTTGGCTGGCCAGGGCTGGCCATGTTCCCCATTCTGATCTGACAGCTCACATTAGCCACGGTCTCTGGCTGTGAGCCCATATCAAATGGCTGATCAATGGCTTACCCCTGCACATTTCAAATCAGCTCACTGGCTAAAGCTCTCACCAATACTTATAATAAAGAAGCCACAGGTGGTGAAATCCTAAGTTTACCTTATTGAAGTAACTTTTCAAGAAACATTCTCTGAGTTGACAGCCTCAGGGTTTTGTGGCTCTCACTGGAAGTCTGAGGGAATGATTTTCCTGCCCATGGAGCTGATTGTGGAGGGACCATCTGTGGTGCTACAGGAGGCTCAGCTGTGTGTTGCTAAACCTGTGGGAGGTCAAAAGGTGAGGGTGGCCAATCTCATTAAGAAATAGAGAATATGCTTCCAATAGCAGCAGAATCTGCTTCGGTAGAGTTCAGTGTCTGACCCATCATGGTCAGGTGGATCTCTAACCATTGCTCCTTCCTGCATTTCAGATTCACCAAGATGAAGACAGCCACCAACATTTACATCTTTAACCTCGCTCTGGCTGACACCCTSTGCCTGATGACCTTGCCCTTCCAGGGAACAGACACATTCCTGGGCTTCTGGCCCTTCGGCAACGTCCTGTGCAAGATCGCCATCTCCATCGACTACTACAACATGTTCACCAGCACCTTCACGCTGACCATGATGAGCGTGGACCGCTACATCGCCATCTGCCACCCCATCAAAGCCCTGGACATCCGCACGCCCCACAAGGCCAAGGTGGTCAATGTTTGCATCTGGGCACTGGCTTCTCTCTTCGGCATCCCGGCCATGGTGATGGGATCTGCGGAGAACGAGAACAACGGTCAGTAAATGAAAACAACGGTCAGTAAAACTGCATCCAGCAGGAGGGACGTGCTGGTGGGCAGGAGAGGCCAGGGAGCCAAGGGAGGGAAGTGCCAGTTTCATCAGTGGGGGGTGGTGTCTGCTGTAAAATCATCTTAATTCTTCCCTTTCTGTCCCTGCCTCTCTGTATCACTGCTACTGCTTTTGTTGTATTGAACATAGAATTAGAATTTCTCGTATTAAACGTAGAATTAGTATTTTCTAGTGTTAAACACAGAATTAGTATTTTCTAGTATCAAACACAGAATTGTTACGTGAGGAATTGAACATAGAATTGTATCTTAGGTTGGAAAAGGCCTCTAAGACCATCAAGTCTAACCATTAACCTAACTGACCTAAACTAATCTGAATGTGCCGATGCTTTTCTTCAATCCGCATTTGCTGATCTCCCTTTCCATTTTATTTCCTCACTCCTGCAGAGATCGATTGCCTGATTAAGCTCCCTTCCCCTGTGGACTACTGGGACCCGGTGTTTGGCATCTGCGTCTTTCTCTTCTCCTTCATGATCCCCGTGCTGATCATCACCATTTGCTACAGCCTCATGATCAGGCGGCTCAAGAACGTGCGCGTGCTCTCGGGCTCCAAGGAGAAGGACCGCAACCTGCGGCGCATCACCCGCATGGTGCTGGTGGTGGTGGCAGTCTTCATCGTCTGCTGGACTCCCATCCAGATTTTCGTGCTGGTGCAGTGCTTGGGCGCCAAGGCGGAGAGCGAGCTGGAGCTGGCCATCTCCTGCTTCTGCACCGCGCTGGGCTAYGCCAACAGCAGCCTGAACCCCGTGCTCTACGCCTTCCTGGATGAGAACTTCAAGGCGTGCTTCAAGAAGTTCTGCTTCCCCAGCGCCTTCAGGACGGAGCTCCAGATGTCCAACAGGATGTGCAGCATCGCCAAGGATGTGGCCTACGCCTGCAAGAACTCGGAGGGGACTAACAATCCGGCATGACTAGGCATGGAAATCCCCATGGCGGCTGTCGCCCAGCAGAGTCCGACCACCCCCACGTCAGAACTGACTCAGATAACGGCCCTTTAGCAGGACCTCGGAACTGAGAGGTGAGAAACCGACCAAACAATTTCGGGGGTTGGGAAAACCGGATTCTGCGGGAGCACGCAAAATCAGCCCAATCTGATGTGWTTTTAATCCCAGTGCATCCTGCACTAAGGAACGTGTTTGAAATCAGCCCGTTGATTCCTGTGAAACATTGTTGAGAGTTTGGGAATCGAGGGTTTAAAATAGGCATCGCTCCTGGGGCTTACCCTTCTGCTGCTGGGAGACGGGCAGGATGTGAACTCTTGCGTTGCTTATTTCCTCCCTGAGTGGRGATGTTAACAGCTCGCGTGGCTCACCAGGCGCTCGTGTGAGGGTTTTGCTCCTGTGCCATCGYGCTGAAATCAGACTTTGCTGCAGCCAAAGCGGGCAGGAGCCATCAGACAAAACCCAAGATCATCTCCAGGATGAGTCATCGTGCAGGGAAGGATGCGGGGAGGGAGAGGAGGGAGCTGACGGGAGGAGAAATTCAAACTGCCTTGGGAGGACAGMGCCAGCTCCTGCAGATGGGATCTGCAGCAAAACCCCCCTCTCAGAGGGGAGCAGAGGGGAGAAGGGACTGTCAGAACTGATGATGTAACTCCAAARAGGAGGAAGAGAAAAGACAGAGGAAATTATCACAGTTCCTCATTTACATGCTGCTATTACTATTTTTTTTTTTAATTTAAACTCTGTATTTCCAGTGTAATACTGGACAGAATGTGTCTGTATATACATGTCTGTAGTGGAACAAGTGCAAATACATGGTAGGATTTCACGTTGCCAAGCATGCCTTGGGCATCTTCCTCAGTGAGAGGAGGAAGGAATGAAGTTGCCTATAGACACGTGAATTTATGTGCAGGGGAAAGCCATTTTGGAGAAGTCAGAATGGCAGCTCTTCCAGAAGACACGGACATTCCTGGTGGGAGGACGCAGCTTAAACCAGTCCCACCCACTCCACATGGGATAAACGGGGCACAAACCATACAAAAAGTGTGGTTCTCTGGTTTGTTTCATTATTTTTTTTAACTGGAAAGAGATCCACGTTGCTGAGAGCATGTGGGAAATGCTGCCCAGGTACCACCCCTCCTGCCAACCACGGACTGATTTTCCTCTCCCAGAGCAGGCCAGAGCTTTGTGGAAAATGAAATGTCCTGTCATTTCAGTCAGTGACAAAAGCTTCCCCAAAGAGTTTCACCACCGAGTGCCCTCCATGCTGGGGAGGGCAGCAGGCTGGGATTCTCCCTGTAGCACAACAGCCCAGTGGGCAATGGTGGCCAGTGGTGCTGATGGGGGAGCAAAGCACCAACCTCCCCCTGGAGATGGGAGGTCAATTCCAACGTGAGAACCAGCAGCATCRTCCAGACTGTACAGATTCCATGTGATTATACTTCTTGTGCCCTGGTCTATGAGATTCTGTATTTTTAATGTATTGATTTGCCAATATTTTAATGCTGTCGTGTTCTTTATATATGCTGTACAAAGGAATCGGATGTTATATTTCTATGTAGARTGTTTCCCTCATGGCTGGGCTTAAAATATAGATGCAATTCCAGCGTAGGACCCAGATCCCTTGTGAGCTGCTCAAGCTGGGAGGATTTTGATGCTGATTATCATTTGATTGGGAATCTGGAYGGATACCAGAGCAAACTTTGCAATTAGCACTTCCCCTGACCGATCTGGAGGGAGGAGGAAATCTGGGCACTTTAAGCACTTTGTAGTGGATGTTAATCCCCAAGCCCTCACCAGGAAATCTCATATAAACCCCAGGCATGTGAAGAACAACTCCTTGAGAGCTGTGCTGCTGGCAARCTGCATCCATGCCTTTGGAAAAATTGGGTTTGGTGGGATGTAATTTGTGGATAAATAACAGCGTTGGGCAGTGAGTGACCTTGGGTCTGCTCAACCCCTCAGCCATGGRATGGTCTGGTGGGGTCTGGGAATGGTTTGGGCTGAAGCTGGGAACTGATTCCTGGGCTGCTCTTACCCTTAGGGASCAGGAGAGCATTCATGAGTGGCTGGCTGAGGCTGAGGCACAGCCACCCTCCCTTTGTCGTCCTTGGCTGGGTTTTTTTTAAATAGATTTATGTGCTCTGAGAAAAAAAAAATACCTGTGTTTGGCATTTTTTTTTATATGGACTTTGTTATAATGACCATGCTGCAACGATCTTACGTAATCAAGTACTCAATAAATGTGTGTTTACCGAGCTTTTGGGTATTTCCATGGCCCTTGCAGTGAATGTGTTTAGGCATTCTGTTCAATGCTCAGTGAAGTTTGTCATAAGAAGAGCAGCAAACACCTGAAAGCAAAACTTTATTGTACTGTGCCTCTGGAGTTACAGGCTCAAGGCTTCAGTGCTGGCTCTGTAATTCCCTTTGGAAGTGGTTGTGTCAGTGTGATTCCTACAACTGCTGCAGTGTAAATGACTATTAGGTGGCTACTTGTGTGCTTTAATAAAGGAAAAATTAAAACTGCTGTGCTTTGGATGATAATCTGAAAGATTTAACTGAGTGGATCGGGAAGTTTCACCTTTGTAGTGAGGTCAGGGAACTTTTGGTGCAYGGGCAACTTTTCCTGTAGTTAACAGAGGAACAGAAGGTGTGAAAATGCTGGGAAATTGGGTCCATGGGGCTTGCAAAGGGCAGCTGTGATGTGTAGGCAGGGCAGCAGGGCAGCTGCCTGCTGTTAGAGGTGAAGCCTGATGAAAGATGAAAACAAACCCTTCCCTCATCCTCTCCCCACAATTCCCTGGAGTTATGGGGTTAAGCATGAGCTGGGAGAACAATAAATTGCAGAACTGCTCTGAAAATAAAGCCAAGGCCATATTCTGTAGGAAAGATGGATCAGCCAGTGAAATGTGCAATAAGGAAAGCACTTTYTCTCTGCACAGAGATCAATATTCCTACCCAAGCAGGTAAATATCAAGAGAGGAGTTTTTATTAGCAGTGGTGATTTTCTTCTTAAAAAAGAAAAAGTTAATTGGTGAGAAAAAAAATGGAAATCTTTATTTTTCTTCTAGTTCAGTTAATTATAAATATCCAGGGTTGAGTTCTTTCAGCAAAACCATAAACTAAAGTGCTTTATTCAGTATTATGGGATTTATTTATGCACTAAGTATTCTCTCTGCTGCTGTTGGCTGAAATCAAGTGCTGGAAAAGGCCGAGGAATGGATGAGCTGGGGACTGAGCTGTCCCCAAGCAGCTTCCTGGCTCTTGGTAAAGCTGGGCAGATCTCTGGCTTTGCAAGAGCCACATTTCCCTTCCTCTCCCCCAGCCAACAACATTCCTCCCTCCATAAATTACAACTTCTAACAGCAGAAATAAAGAGCAGAACTTACACTTTCACTGGGGTTTGGATGGACAACACCCTCAGGCACATTGTGGGGTTCTGGTTGTTCTGTGCAAGGCCAGGAGTTGGACTTTGATCCTGGTGGGTCCCTTCCACTCTGAATATTCCGTGTTTTGTGGGTTTATGCCATGGGAAGAGCTGAGCTGGGGAGCTGCTGGGTTGCAGACTGGGGTTGGTTGGTTTGGGTGAGGATTCAGCTGAAATCCCCCTCCCCAAGCCCACTGCCCACAGGAGCCACAAATCCTTTCCTCTGCTCCAAGTGCCTCTGCCCCCCACAAAACCCAGCAGGTGGGAGAAACCCCAACTGCAGAAACACCAAAGCTGGGTTGGCCCCTTGTGGTAYCCCCTGTTTACAGCTCGAGACTCGCCCTGATGGAGACACTGCCTGATGCTGARCATTTACCACATCTGTTTTGTCAAGATTTTAATGAAAAGCTAATCTGGAAATATATTTTCGTGTGTTTTTTTTTTCTTTTGGGTTTTTTTTTGTGTGTGTTTGTTTGTTTGCTTTTTTGTTTTTGTGATTTGTTTAATTATTTTTTCCTTTTTTTTTCCTCCCTAGGGAGATTTGTTAACTCTTGAAAGAGCTGCCTCTGGGCTCCAGTCTCTCTCCCTGGATACTTTGGGGTATCATTGCTGGGTAGGATAATGTGTGAAAAGAAGGATRCCTCTCACCCTGCAATGCTTTATAGAGAAGGTGGCTGCTCTCTATAGTTAGAGCCTCTTTTTTAAAATGAAAAGGATCTCCAGCAGCAGCTGGTGTGGGTGCAGCCTTTGATATCTGCTCAGAAGACAGACTCAGACTGGCAGCAAAGCTCTGCCAGAGAAACTCCAGCTTGTCTCCCACTCATTTTGCTGTGCTTCCCCTCAGCTATTTCTGTGGATATTCATGCAAAAGCAAATTTCTCCTTTCTTCAATGGGAGAATCTCCTTCGGACACATCCCAGGCTGTGCATTCATGGCTTCAGGCTGTGTTTGCCCTGTGAATCTCTGCAGCAGCAGAGCTGCGTCGCTGTGACTTTGCAGAATCAGTTGGTAATTCACACCCCTGACCTTCACCCCCAGKGCTGTTTGAACCACCAGATCTTACTCCCTGGCCTCCTTTGCTGTRGAGAACCACGGAGATGGGAGAGATGGAGGGCAGGATCCAGCAGCAACTGGAGAGGGAGGGAAAGGAGGAAAAGTTGTTCCATCTCTGTGGTGAGAATTGCTTGTGAGGTGGGGAGGCTGAAAAWCKGAGAGAAGGGAAAAAGGGGACYTKTTGGAGAGAGTCCAGAGGAGGYCACAAAGATTCTCTGAKGGCTGGAGYAGSTCAGATACAGAAACAGGCTGAGAGAGCTGGGGGGGTTCAGCCTGGAGAACAGAAGGCTCTGGGGAGACCTTAGAGCCCCTTCCAGTCCATAAAGGGGCTAAAGAGAACTGGAGAGGGATTTGGGACAAGGGCCTGGAGTGGTAACAGAAGTGCCAAGGTCGCAGCTCCTTTTGCAAGAGGGACTCTTAAGATTTTTTCCAAGCAAAGAGATTACTAATGGAGAGCGTGCTGTCAGTTCAAAGAGCCCCACTGCTCACAAAGTCCCTTTGTTCCTGCTTTCAGCACCCTGAAGCCTGGGTGGAKTGCATGGCAGAATGAAATAATCAATAAATAGAACAACATGGTTCTGTATCTTGGCAACGATGATGCTGGTGAGCCGTAAACTGACTTTGCTCTCTCTCCCTCAGAGAGAGAGATCCCGCCTGGCTGCAGGGAAGGAGCGATGCCAATTTTGTGCTGGGGACAGAGACAGCCCCTTCCCCCAGCTCAGAGTTTCTGCTTCAGCAACCCAAAAACTCCCTAAAGAGTTCCTGGACTATAAACAACACAATAATATCCAGCCCTAGCTGGGATCACCTTCACCCTGCAGGACAACATCTCCCACRTTCACATTCACAGAATCTCACAGTCCTGGAATGGTTTGGGTGGAAGGGACCTCAAAGACCTTCTAGTTCAAACCCCTTGCCATGAGGAGGATCCTTGGGAATTTGGTCATCCTGAACTGCTGGAAGGGTGTCTGRGAGGAAATCAAATCCTGTTCAACCAGCCCACTCTTGCAGCAGAAGGGGTTTTTCCACCAGGATGTGTTATTTATGTTATTTCTGACAGAGGATGTAGCTCTGGTGCTGATGGATCCTCCTGCAGTGGTCAGGGAGAGCATCTCTGCTTCCCTCCCCTCTGGGCCTGAAGCCAGGCAGGAAGGGCTGGAGCCTGGAGCAGCAGCACTGCCAAACAGCACATTTTCAGTGTAGTGAAATGAAGAACGATTCTTCAGGAAATCAAGCGGGAAAATTGATTTTTTCCAAGAAAACCATGGAAAGAATCATCATCCTCCTGTAGCTTGGTTTTGGCTGAATTAGATCACCCTTTTCATGGCCACAGAGAGGAGCCCAGGCAGAGCCTGAGCTGGCTCTGTCCATTCAATAAACATCAGTTTCTCTGTGTGTTTCCAGCCTGGCATGTGCAGCGAATGCTCCAAGAAAAGCTCATGCMGTGCTGATTTCATTCAGTAAGGAGGAATAAAAACAGAAGCTCTGTAGTCAACATGAAATTAAGATTAATGGCTTTTCAGCTTGATTTCCTCTGTGTGAAACAARCCCCGTATTGTGATTTGGCTATTTCATGTTTGCTCGGTGTTAGGCATTAATAGCAGCTTCTCCACATGCACAGGTCATTTGCTCACATATTTTGGAGTTTCCCTCGTCTCAGCCTTGCACTGCTCTTGCTTGGCTTAACCACAGAGGAAATCATAGAATCACAGAATGGKTTRSKCTGGAAGGGACCTTAAATGTCATCTGTCCAAACTTCATGCCATTAAAATTTCTGGAGATGATCACCTGCCTCCAGGAACTCAGCATAAAGGGGCAGAAAAAGAGCCCAGCCCCTGGTGCTGGTGTTTACCCTTCTCCCTGCATTCCTCTGGGGGCTGGGAGTGGCAATGGAAGGCTGACCAGGGCTCTTCTGCACTGCRGTTTAATTTGCATGTTCTTGGCTGGAAAAAAAATTCTTCCTCTTCTGGTGAGTGCCAGGGATGCCACTGAGCCCCTCTGCCTGGGGCTSTCCACCAGGATTATGCAGGATGAGCTCAAGACTGGGCTGGATGGGGCTCTGAGTATCCTGGTTAGTGGAAGATGGCCCTGTCCATGGCAGGGGGATKAAGCTGGATGATCTTTAAGGTSCMTTCCAACCCAAACCATTCTATAATTCTGTGATTCTACAAGCTGCTGGCTCTGACCTGCCCCATCCATCATGAATCAGTGGCCATCAGCTTCTCAYCCAAGCTCCTGGTCAGTCTGGGCGTGCCCATGGCATGGAGGATCCCGCTGAGTCCATCACATRGATAAGGGAAATTTAATTACAGCCCTAAGATTTCCATCAATGCTGAGCAGCAGCAGGCTGGGTCTCAGRGGAGATTTTTCATTGCGTTGAAATCTGACTTTATTAATTACCAGTCTCTGATCTCATTTGAGGGGTAAGTTTATGAAACGGAATCCTTATTTCTCTGATTTCTTTATTCAGCTAGTTTGTTGAGTCTTGTCCAGGGGATGGTTTGAACCTTAGGAACTCCCAAGGTATCTTCCACTTCTGGCATGAGCTGTGCAGGGGAAGCGTCAGAGCAAGGGGAGATGATGGAGATGTGCAGCAGTCCTGGTGAAAGAGAGAAAGGAAACACTGAAAATGGGGACAGCTGYCTGCTGTCAAAGGTTTTACTCGCAAAATATAGCTCATTTTACCCTCAAAGGAAGCTCCCCTTTTTCACATGGGATGTTGGTGGCAGCCCCCAGAGCCCCCAGCCAGGGAACGCTGTGGTGGGGGGTTTTAGCAGAGTGACCACCAGGCTGTTCATTCCCTCATGGGGAAAGCTTCCCATCCTCTGTTTATCCAGGAAGCACCAGACTTGGCTGTAGGCACTTAGGAGAGTGCCTGGTATTTATCTAAACATCAAATTAATTTTTTTTAGAAGAGAAAATAGCCACTGAACAGCCCTTGAAGCTYGGGCTAGTGTCTAATTCCACTCCAAGAGCTTTGTTAGATAATTGCAATACTTTTGTGAGAACAAATAGAACAGTTGAGGCTTGTAATTAAAARCCATTCAGGCAGTTTTTGATCCTGCCCTCTGCATCTTCACTTACCAAACACAAATGTCAACAAGAACTGATGGCAATATTTGCTGTCACAATTCTTGGCCTTTTCCTTAAAATTAATTCCTCTTCCTCTCTTCCAGTCAAAAGGAGGAGGAGGGAGGGGAATGTGGCAATGTGGCTTTTCAGTAGGTTTTCCTTTGGAAAGATTTTTTTTTTGGAGGATGCCTGATACCATAGAATCATAGATTTATTATGTTTAGAGAAGCTCAATGAGTCTAAGAATCAAATCAGCCACACCACCACATTCACCAGATAAGTCAGGCTGTACAGAAAAGGGACAAATTCTCTATCTTGGATTGATTTTAACAGCACCCTCTAGAGACCCTTCTGCTTCACATCTTCTGTAGTCCGAGTTTTTGCCAATCCATATTTCATTTTTATATTCATATCTTTCTCCCATAAAGATGMTTCTGAGAGCCAGGCCTTCACCTCTCAGTGGGGTATTATTTCTTTTCTCACCCAAAAATCGTGACCAGCCTTAGGGAGGAAGTCTGAGATTGCCTAAAACCCRGGGGATTAGAGCTTCCCGGGAGAGCAAGCTGCAGCGCAGCCCGGATGAGGACAATTGATCCGAACAGCCAATATTGCCGCACCACAATGACTTCAAAAGCAACAATCGCTTCCGATCCCTTAGCTCAGATGGCTGCGATGAAAGCCTGCAGCGGGAATAYGAGCTCCCGAATTCGTGTTCTGGGCTGGGAAATGACTCGCTCCCCCTCTCCCAGGGGTGATGGAGCAGAATCCTCCAGGGCTGTGTGTCCTGCTGGCTGTGACAGAAGCAGGAAGGCGATTCCTACCCGGAGCAGGAACCTGCTGCTGCTGCTTTGGGCAGGACCAGCGGAAAGCCTTCAGCTCCTGCCGTGTCCGGGGAGCTGCGGGCTCCCTGGTGGGAGGCTTTGCACCCATCAACACATCCTAGACCGTCCCAGAAGGAAATTTCCCCGGCTTTGAGGCTGAGCCGACTTCCTTGCTCAGTGCATGGCTGGCTGGGAAAGGGTTAGATGGGAAAAGGCCCCGTGGGTCCCTAGTTCAGCCTCCTGCCACCCTGCAGATCCCAGACGGGCTGTTTGGTTTAGCTCTTTTTTTTTATGTGTTTTTTAAAATTTTTTAAAATCTTTTTTTTCAGTGAATCGTTAATGGGGTTTATTTCCCACTTCCAGTCTTCCTGATGCAGCTGATGCGGGCTGATGTGACAAGCCAGCCCCAGCAATGGGAGGAAATCCAAAGGAATGATCTGGCGTGTGGGGTTTCCCTGGCRGAATCTTGTGCTGGGAGCGGGCAAGCGTCTCCCTGGAGGTGTTTTCTGCTTTCCCAGGAGGAGCCGGAGCAGCCTGGCCTCGGATGCTGCGCTYTGCGGCTCTGCCAAGGCAGGAGCGGGGTACCAGGCTGTGAGTGAGGCTGCGGGAGAGGCAGCGATGCTGAGCTGAAAGCAGAGAGTGCCGCTCAGCGCCGCCGGGCTGAACCGCACAGCGGCCGCCTCGGGGCTCCGGGGGAGCTGCAGCCCCTCCCGAGCACCGTCAATGCCAAWCCTGCTCCCCTCGGAGCCTGGAATCCCACGGGAGGGACCAGCATTCGTGTGTTAGGCGTTTTACATGGAGAACATCACGGATGCTGCCTCAAAAAGGAGATGCTGAGATGGGGATGCTCACCCTCAGCAACGTTTTAAAGTGCCTGATGGAGGRTGCAGAGAAGGAACCAGACTCTCCTCTGTGATGTACAGTGACAGGACAGGCAGGAAGCACAAAATGAAATATGGAAAATTCCAGTCAAGAATAGGAGGGGAATTCACTGTTAGAGTGGTGAAGCACAAGATGTCCAAAGTAGCAGTGGAATCCCCATCCTTGGAGACATTCAAACCCAACTGGACACGGCGCTGGGAAATTTGCCCTGGGTGACCCTGCTTGAGCCATGCTGTGCTGCTGTGACAGTCATGACCTGTGACTGAATGGAAAAAGCTCCAGCAACGTCATTGTACTGAAAGTGGGTGACTCACCCTGAGAAGTTCCTTTCCATCTAAAGAAATACGGTGTTTTTTTTCTACCTAATAAAATCTATTGCATTTCCTAAAATCCCACTGCCAATGAGCAGCCATGTTTTAGCTGCCTAAGCTACTTTTGTGAGACGAGACTTCATTTGAGTCAATTTTGTCACTSAGAGAGATTTTTCCACCTGGGAAGSCCCTTGCCAGCAGGTGGCAACCATGGCAAAGCAAAATTCCTGGAGAAGTTCCACCCGGAAGGATGTGCTCTCCTTCACTGTTCTCCCAAAGTTAGCMCCTCTAAAATGGAGAAGGCAACGGAGTGATCTTGTATTCACACATCTGTTTTTAGTTTTCTAAAAATGGAATTACCATCCTGCGATATTGGGGGGTTTTAATTTTGGGGTGCTGAGGGCACTGAATTGCCCTGAGCAGCCTCAACTGGGGTCTCCATACACCTGTCACCCTCTGAGAACCTATTTAAGCTGGCAACTGCAGCCTCCTCTTATTTTGTTTTACCTGTCCTGCACTTTCCTGGGTAATTTGGACTGGTAAGAGCTGAGCTTGGTACCTGGGGATTCGGGGAAAGCTTGAGAGAAATATTTTAGACAGCCTTCCTAAAACCAGTAACATATAAACCTTGCAGGGCTCAAGGGTGTGAGAATGAACCTTCCAAGCTTTCAATATTGAGTTTCTGATCTCCAGAATCTYCCACTCAAGTACTGGTTCTGTTCAAGCATTTTGACTATTTATCTGTTAAGGGTAAGGATATCTGTTAAAGAAGGAACTTTATCTGCAGTGTTCACTGGAGTTTTTCTTGTGGCTTAAAAAAAAAAAAATCTTGATTTTGTTACAAATCTATCATGTTTTATTTTACAATAGGCAAAATGCAATATATATAGCAAGGACATGGCATAAGTAGCATTAATTTTCTCTTGTGAAAGAAGGACCAGTCTGTTTTTTCCCCCATTAGGTTTATTTCATTACTCACTCTTAAATAAATATGTATTTGACACTAAACAGGAACAATTAGCTCAAAATAACTTTTAACACAAATTCCCACAGTTGTCATAGTATTTGTATGGCATGTTTTTTAATACTTTTTTTTGAGACTTAAATCTTCCTTTTGGTCTAGATTTCACAAGTCAGAAAAGAAGARATTTGGGGTGGGGTGGAAGATGGACATCCTTCAAAATCAAAAGAAAGCTGCAACACACAGGAATATATRTGGACACAAAAATTGTTTCTTTTCTCTTCCAAACACTGATCCTCTGTCCGTTTTATTGATGTTTAATTGACAGTGCTCATTAGCTCTGCTCCATTAAACAATCCTCCCTAATTACACAGCGATAAAGAACTGATCTTTGCACTAATCTGGAAATTGGTCTCCAGCCTGTCTGTGCTGTACAGCAGATGGCAATAAAGGACCACTCTGAGGCAGAGATATACCCCTGAAAAGGAAATGTTCTGTCCTTCATAACTCAGGGTGTAAAAGGAAAAGTCAGGATACAGAAATGTAACTCTGAGAAGTTGGGAGGTGCAAAGAGGGGAAATGCAAGAATTGCAGGTGGACGAGACAAACCCTGTTGCTGATGAGGATTATAAACAGACCACACTCTAAATGTAAACAAAAGAAATGACATTATGCATTCAYTGGCCACCCCTCCAGTCTGCAGAGGTGTCCCTGAAAAACCCTGGGAGGGCAGGGATCTGCCAGCCCCAATCCCCTGTTCAAGAAGTCCTGCATTCCAGCAACTTCCGGAAACTTTTCCGAAAACTGTCATCCAGGAAAGCGTAYAAGAACGGATTCAAGCATGAATTGGCATAGCTTAGGCTGGTGATGAARTAGGATATCCCAATGACCAAGGAGGTCTGGGGTAAGTCAGTGGTCAAAGCCACGATGGTGGCCAAGTGGAAGGGGGTCCAACAGAAGAGGAACACAGCCAGGACTATGAAGACCATAATGGTGACTTTTTTCTTGGCTTTGTCCAGGGCTCTGGCATTGGAGTTCAAGTGCATGTTCCTCAGCTTGTAGAGCATCATGGTGTAGAGGATRCAGATGGTGGACACTGGGATGGCAAAGCCAAGGATGAGGGTGTAGATCCTGCTGGCTTTGAACCAAAACCTCTCAGGCTTGGGGAAGTTGAGCCCACAGCTCTTGATCTCCAGGTCGTCGGTGTAGACRTTGGCAAAGATGATGAAAGGGAGGACAATGATGGTGACCAGGATCCAGATGCACAGGCTGACAATCCTGGCAGCTCGGTACGTGCGGTGGGGCATCCTCTTGGACCTGACTGTAGCCAGGACCACCAGGTACCTGTCTATGCTCATCACTGTCAGGAAATAAATGCTGGAGAAGATATTGTAGTGGTCTATGGACAARATGACCTTGCAGAGGATTTCTCCGAAGGGCCAGTAGCGGAGGAGGTGTTCCGCAATATTCATGGGCAGGACGAGGGTGAACAAGTCATCGGCTATAGCGAGGTTCAGGATGAACATGTTGGTCACAGTCTTCATCTTGGGGGCCTTGAGGATCACATAGATGACAGCAGTGTTGCCTGTGAGCCCCACAGCACAGATCACTGAGTAGATCACGGGCAGGATGACATAGAAATCAGCTGCCTGCTCTTGGAGGGTGAAGTTGAACCTCATGCTGTTGTCCAGGTAGCAGCTRTTGCTTGTGTTGCTGCAGGAGCTATTTAGATCATCCCAAAAGGAGCTGTTTCCCATGCCTGTTGATCACAGACCACCCTCAGATGCCACTGAAAGCCTCACTAGACCAGAGTGAGGGTTTTTTTGTTTGGTTGGGGTCTTTTTCCCCCTCCTGTAAGAAGCAGCTGTTACCTCATTTAGATGCAACTTATTTTCAGAGGTGGGTTGTGAGGCTGCATGGACCACCTAATTTACCTCTCCCCGCGTTGGAGAAGCTAGATTTTGAAATGATAAGGCGGGAAATAAAAGTTTGGAAGACATAAGGCTCCATGAACCAATCAAATAAGACACTTACGACTTTCTAAATAAGTCAAGGAATTCTTCTTTCTGAGAGCATTCCAGTGAGCTCTGGTTTCTCTTTGCTGGGAGAGTTGAGTGGCTCCCGTTCGGCTGYCTGCAGTGAGAGTTCTTCTGGGGCTGTCAAGAACAAGGAGGCAGAAGGGGGAGTTTTGTGCCTGGCTGGCTGTTCACAGCCCTTGGAGGACCCGAGGGATGGCTGCTGCTGTTTCACTGGCACAGCGCTCGCTTKCCGTGCCGGAGCAGAAGGGTTGCAGCGGTTAATTAGCGCCTGCCTTTGTGTCGGAGTTCAGGCTCTTCTTGGGATTTCACAAATAATGRAGAAGTTTCTGACACTGCTAATCCCCACTCCCGGGGTCCCCTAGCAAAAGAAGGAGGGGGGAAAATAGTTTAGGGAGTATTTCTAGAATTAAGGGTTGAAGGTGCTTAACCCGCAATCAAAGTAGATTTTTAAGCAAGGGTAAGCTATGATCTTATTCACTATGAAGASCATCCCCAGGACAAACAATGGACAGCACCCCAAACTTAGCACAGATGGACAAACAAACCCGTAAATCTCAGAAGTTCAGGATTAATCAGGGAAGAGGGAGAAAAGTACCCTGACAGCGAACCCACTTTAAAGTCACAGCAAGAATCATCCCATCTGYAGCAGCTGCCACATCCATCGCTGTTGTCTGACCCATACTTCCAAAAATTCCTCCACAGGGAACGAACAAACAACCGACCCCGACCCCCACCATGAAGATCAAAGGTTTGGCAACCGGTCCCCAGGCTCTGCAAAGAGAAGTGCCTCACTTCTCCCGTATTTTGCTTTCTCACGGCAACGAAGTGAGCGGGACTGCCGGGGTTGGGGATGGAGGGCTGAAGCGTCCCTTACCTGGGAAGCGGCTCCGCTGCCTCCTCCAGCACCTGCTGCTTGCACTGGAGAGCCTCTTGCCTCTAATCCGAGTTGGAGGAGGGTCTCTGGGATGCTGACGTACCGGGATTTGCAATCAGATCAACATGATGCTTTTGTGTGCGCGCGTTGCATGTCTGAGCAATTAGCACTTGCTCAGATCGGGGAAGGGGGGAAACAAAGGTTTTCTCTATGCACGGTTATTTAAATGGTAAATAAGGGGGATGTTCCCTTCAGGAATGAGGGAGATGTCGAGGGACACGGGCAGCACCCAGGACTGGCTGAATGAGGGATGCGTGAAACGGTGGGAAGCGGGGTTTAAACTGCTTCCATGGGGAACAGCGGCTGGTTTAACAAAGGGAGTGGGAGGAGGRTAAGCATCATTACAGAGCGCAAAATAAACAAATAAACAGACGTACCTTGCCAGTTCTGTGCCGTTTTCGGCTGCTCTGGAGGAGTTTGGCCGGTTTTCTCCAGCTGGGTCTCAGATCCGGCTTTGGAAATTCAATGAAGTCTTTCAGATGTGCATCGGGAGGTGCAGGAGTCCCGTGAAGCTCGTCGGAAATGCACCCCARGTTACAGAGCAAAACCAGCGAGAATGTAACATCGCTTTACCAGCATGTCCCTGGAAAAAGAAGAGAAAGGAAATCAAGGGTCTCTTGATTCTGCTTTAGTCTTTTAAATGTTGCCTGACCTTTGTTTCCAGACAAGGCAAGGGAAAACACAAGCATCCATCAGTGCCATGCCTGGCTGTGYGCATCTGACCAGGAGGRTCAGCTCACAGATCTGARCCRTGAAGCCAAGAGCTGTGTTCGACTTTGCTCCTCTTCTTTAGGTGTTTTTATATTCTTCTGGCAAGATTACTGTGAACCAGTAACTGGGTGGGAGTAAAACATTTCATTGCACTTTTTAAGGCCATGGCTATAACTGACTTTCCAGCAGATGGGATTTCTTTTATGTTCAATGTACAACTCTTCCAGTTCTTTTCTGTATTTTGGTCAAAATCTAACCAGATATTTGGTTTAAGGGAAATTAAACAGGATTATATTGTCTAATTATATTGCATAGTGATTATATGGATGATATTTTTTCAGATTAAATACCCCCAGAGCTTTCCTCTTGACTCTTTTGGGAAAGCTGGTGCAGCTTATAAGGAGTTGTAAACGAGGCAAGGTATTGATAGGTCTGCTGGGGGAAGGCAGTTTCCAGGAACTGCTGTTGTCTTTTTCGAGGAAGAACACACAGGAAGGAGGAGAAATTCAGGAGAATGTGATGTTGCATTTGCTGATCTGTAACTATTCCCTGGGACAAAAGGGTTTGGAAGTATTTTTCCTCTACAATCCTTTGAGGCTTTCTGTTTTACAGCATAAAGCGCATCTCTGGGATAGCTTAAAAGCTGTCCTTTCACTTCCCAAACTGTTTTATCTCAGAATTAGCATCATGTTGCTGTGGCCAGGGATCATGTGCTGTGTGTTTTAGGGACTGTGGAGAGGGGCTGGGAGCTGGGGAGTGCTGAAGGGGCTGCGGTGCTGAAGATGCTCCCTTGTGTTTTACCCTCTGCCTTGTGCCTTACTCCTCATTATCCATGGTGAACATGCTCTCCGTGCCTTGCTTAGGATGTGCTTGATTAAAATAACCTGTCAGAGATGAGATGGAGACTAATTCAATCTCATTGCCTGATGTGGGTAGAGGGGCTTTTGCTTCTTATATGCCCGAAACAAATCACTGGCACCTGCTTTCTGAGCTCCTTGCYTGGTTCTCCAATAAAACTTGTTTGCTTTGGGGAGAACAATTTCCAACAGACCGGAATTCATGCAGGAAATTGCTTTGCAGCAGGACCCCTTCTACCAACAGACAAAATCTTTCCTCTGTGTGTGTCTAAGCCTGACCAGGGCCAAAGGCTGTGCACAGAGGAAACAGATCCATCTATGTTGGTGTGATGGGGAGTGCTTGGAGGGAAGGCTGAGAGATGTTTAATTCATCTTGTTTTCTCTGGCTGGGCATCCTTCCACTCGATCATAAATGTTACAGCAGCACACAGCCCTGGAAATCAAACACTGGTTTGATGATGTTGGTGCAAAGGACACGAGCTGTGTTGGACCTTCTCTTGTGCCAACAGCTCCATCATCAGCACAGTGCAAAGGGACAAAGGTTTTATTCCTGGYAAATCCACGCCATGGAGATGGACTTTGCCTCCTGAAGCCCACGTTCACACAGTGCAGCTTGGGTCAGCTGTGCAAACAAAGRAAAGGCAGCGTTTTAGGGAGGGGGAAATCCCTGGCAATGCTAAATCAAGGGTGTTTTGTTGCCTTCATAAAGCTGATCTGCTGCTGGCTCCAGGCAAAACCATCRACCATTTTGGAGTTAAGGACAACTATTTTGTTGGGCTCCTGCTGCTGTCAAGGAGTCAAGTTCATCTCAAGGACACAGATASACGATCAATACTCTGTTTACCAAAACAAAATGTTCTCGGCTGGCTGTCTYACAGTCGCTGGTTATTAAGGTGATTTATTTGTATGAAGTGCTCAGGCTTTTGAAAAGCATTGCAGGTTAATAATAGAATCAAGGAGTAGTTTGGGTTGGAAGGGACCTTTAAAGGTCATCTAGTCCAACCCCCCTGCAATGAGCAGGGACATTGGCAATCAGATCAGATTGCTCAGGACGGAACTATCCAAGCTGACCTTGGATACTCCCAGGGATGGAGCTTCTACCACCTCTCTTGGCAACCTGTGGTAGTGCCTCATCATCCTCATTGCAAAAAACTTCCTTCTTATATCTTATTTAAATCCACCTTCCTTCTGTTTGAAGCCATTCCCCCCGGTCCTATCACAACAGGACCTGCTGAAATATCCAGAACTGATTCTGTCAAATGGTCTGTMATTGCTTCTGGTAAGATAAGTGTGCCTGCTCAGGCTGCTTGTAGGATAACATTCACCCACGAGCTGGGACAAGTCCTCTTGCTTCCTCTAAACCTTCCCAGCCATACTGAGCCAGGCTGGTTTGACAGGTGGTGGTGCTCACCTTGTGGGACACCCAGAGAACAGGCAAGGGCTGCAGGAGATGATTTTATCTGAGGGGTGAGGGTAGGACAAATGTCTCCATAGGAAAACTGATGAATTGTGGGCGAAAAAAGTGCCCTTGAATGGTGATAATTGTCACGGATGCAGTGGCTRGTGACACATCCTTCCCACCAGAGAGCTCTGCAGTGGAGGCAAAGTGGTTCTGGCAGTGATTTAAGGAAAGTCGGAGTAATGAGTCTATAAACGGCCTGTTTTTGTCAGGGAAAGTACATATCAATAACTGCCCCGTCTGTCTCTGCAGGGGAGCAATCGAGACAAACGCCGTGTTAGCAATTTCCTCAGACCAGCTGTGATGGGAAATAAAAGCTGTAGCACCAGGAGCTGGTGGGTGGGTGGCTGAAGCAGTTTGCTCCTCTCAGGAAAGAGGTTGGGAGGCTCCTGCAATGGGTCAGCCCTCATTCCCAGCAGCTTTTGGAGACYCTGGCTCATCTTCCACACAWYCCCCAGCCCTGTGGTGCTGGCTGGRGMCACCCAGAGGTACCACCCAGCCATGGAGGATGAGGGACATTGCAGGAGGCTGCCAGCAGGAGCCTGTGCTGTCGGATGTGTTAATTAAGAGAGCTCTGGCACTGTGCTCATGACATTGGGAGCAAGGTCACCGTGCCAGTCTTGCTGCAATTAATACATATCTGTGAGAATTTCGAGTGCAGGCAGAACGCTGCTTTAAACATCCTCATTTGCTCTCCCACCCCTCTCTGGTCTGGCTTCAAGCAGCCTTGTTCCAGAGAGAAATTAAAATCCGCTTCCACTCCAGGATGCTTTTATTCTCTCCAGCAGTTTTTCCTGCTTTTTTTCCAGGGTTGGAAGTGAGTTCTTTGGTTGGTTTGCTGCCCTGAGCCAGTCCAGCCTGTCCAAAGCAGAGCCCTTTGGAAGAGGGARATTTCTGGAAGTGATCTGTCCCGTTTTAAATGCTGCTCATCACCTTTGTGGGGTGTGAGGAGCTCAGGGCAGTGGTTTTTTTTTGCCCACAAGGAGTAGGCAAAACC